GCAAGTACCACCCAGACATGGGCAAATATCACCCTGATGTGGGCAAGCATCACCCCCGACACGGGTAAATATCACCCTGATGTGGGCAAGCACCATCCAGACACGGGCAAATATCACCCTGATGTGGGCAAGCACCATCCAGACACGGGCAAATATCACCCTGATGTGGGCAAGCACTGGCCCTACACGGGCAAGCATCACCCCCGATGTGGGCAAGCATCCCCACTGCTGCTGGTCCCTGGGCAGCCCAGCCCCATCCCTCCCGCCCCCCAGCCCCCTGTGCTCACCGGCCACAGGCACCCGGGGCAGGTCCCCCCACAGAGGCAGGGGAAGGGTGTGGGGACCAGCAGCAACACCCCAAGGGGCTGTGGAGCTCCCTCGGCCCCAGCACAGGGCACCCATCACTGCAGGGGACCCCAGGGAGGGGATTCCCTGAGCTCCCAGCACGTGCTGCCCCGCACGCAGAGCCAGGACCCAACACCTGCCACGGGGTGACTCACACCCACGCCCTCCTGAATGCACCCCTTGTCCCTGCCGGCTGTCCTGCACCACAGCACCTCCTCCAGCCACGGGCATGGCCGGGCACTGCCACTGGCCAAAGAGTCACAGAGTCATGGAATGGTTTGGGTTGGAAGGGACCTTAAAGCTCGTCTCATGCCATGAGCAGGGACACCTTCCACCAGAGCAGGTTGCTCCAAGCCCTGTCCAGCCTGGCCTTGAACTCTTCCAGGGATGGGACAGTCACAGATTCTCTGGGCAACCTGTGCCAGTGTCTCACCACCCTCAGAGGGAAGAATTTCTTAGGAGATAATAGCTCTTTATTTTTTAAATGTTCCCAAAACAAGAACCCACCTATAACCAATATATTGCTGGTCGTACAATTAAAGTGACTTTGAGATAGGGATTTTGGGTTTAAGCTGGTTAGTTTTGATCTCCCCAATATATACATATAATACACACATAAAGCATATATGGATGCATAGATATTTGCCTGTGTATATTCACCAGAGCATCAAAGTGTATATATATATATATATATACACATATGTATATGATAGATAGATATCATAAATATATACACCACTATACACATATACACCCATCTGTACACATACACTCACCCTCTTCTGCCACTACCAAGCACCAGCACATACGTGTAATCTGTATGTTACATGTGCATCGGGGCACAGTGAGTGCCAGGGCCCCACGGCCGCCCCCCTGCCCCACACTGGCACAGCCCACAGGGCTCCCCATGGTGACCCCACGGCCACCCCCCTGCCCCACACTGGCACAGCCCACAGGGCTCCCCATGGTGATCCCAGTCCCCCAGGCCACTGGAGCACCCCTCTGTCCCGGGGGTGCTGTTCAGCCACTGGCACCCAGCCAGGCCACAGCCCCATCCCTCCCGAGTGCCGTGGTCCTGCACGTAGCTCCCAAGGGTCCCAAATCCCGCGGGGCGGCTCCAGGGGGGAACGCCAGCCCCAGGACTTTAAGGCACAGCCTTCGGGGCGCTGTGCCGGGGCGGGCTGCGCCTGCTCTGGGCCAGCAGGGACTGGGGTGCCAGCAGTGCCTGTGGGCACACAGGCCAGGGCAGGAAACACCCGCTGGAGCCAGCGGAGCGAGACTCGCGCCCGGGAGCAGCGGCAGCCCTGGCTCCCATCCCAGAGCCCTCAGGCCCGGCCCCGCCGCCTGCCCCGCGCTCGGCACCGTGCCAGCGGTGACCCCCCTACCTGGGCAGGCAGCAGGGACCCCGCAGAGCCAGTCGGCAGCACGGGCAGGGCTCGGGGAGGCCGGTGGGAAGCGGAGTTTGTCACCCCGGCACTTCCTGCGCTGCAGCAAAACTTCCTGAGCTGGCTGAAGCGGCAGCATGGCCGGCGCCGAGCCCACGGCACGGCCTGAACGAGCCCACGGCACGGCCTGAAGGAGCCCACGGCACTGCCAGTGCCAAAACACTGCCAGGGCTGGCAACAAACACCCCCCCAGGGCTGGCACCAAACACCCCCCCAGGGCTGGCACTGAGCCCATGGCACAGCTGGCACCAACCCAGCATAGCAAGAACTAAACCCACTGCAGGGCCAGCACTGAACCGGCACGGCCAGCACCGAAACCATGGCATGGCCAGCACCGAAACCATGTCATGGCCAGCACCGAACCGCCATGGCCAGCACCAAAACCATGGCATGGCCAGCACCGAAACCATGGCATGGCCAGCACCAAAACCATGGCATGGCCAGCACCAAAACCATGGCATGGCCAGCACCGAACCGGCATGGCCAGCACCAAACGGGCACAGCTGGCACCAAACTGGCAGCCACTGGCCTTGCCATGCCCTGGCAGGCTCCTCGCCAGAGTAGGATGGAGAGCAGCTCCAGGGGATTTTGGGGACCACCTCGATGCAGAAATGCAGTGGTGGGGCCAGTCCCTGGGGTGCCAGGATGGACGCTGTTGATCCGGAGCCCACGTACGGAGCCCCAGGGGTGGGTGGGTGCTGCCCACCCCGTGGGGTGCCAGAGGCCCCTCCCTGGCTCAGCATCCCAGCCTGCCCCCTGCTCTCTCCACCTTTCCCCGTGCTGCAGCTCACTGCCTTGCACCCACCAGTGTGACGAGTTGCTCAGGCCTCAGCACTGCCTACGCTGCAGGCAGGGGCAGGGCAGGGCTCTGCATTGTTGGTGGGGGACTGAACCCCAGCCCGAGCCAGGCTGGAGTGACCGGGGTGGCTGGGGGTGATCAGGGTGGCCACATCCAGCTGCAGCCAAAATAAGTATCTCAGGCCCCCCCACCCTGTGCGGGTACCCCCAGGAAATGTGGGGTCTGGGGCGGGGGTACACGCAGGGGATGTGCTGGGGTGTGGGGAGGGCACGGGAACCCCAGGCCACCCACGTCACGACGATGTGCTCCCACCTGAGGGTTCCACCCACACCGCAGCAGCCCCCCACAGGGACCACCCCGCTCCTTGGGGCACCCCCAGGCCCACCCCCCTGCCACCCCCTTACCTCCTGTGGGACACGGCCCTGGGGGGCAGCACGGGGGGGCGGTCGGGCAGCGGGGGGCCCTTCAGGGACTGGCACTTGGCTTCCAGCTGGTGCCTCTTGGCCGGCAGCGGTGGCAGCGGGGGCCTGGCCCTGCCTTCGGCAGCGGGCTTCTCCACGAGGGCTGGCGGCGAGGGCTCCTCCGGGGCAGGGAGGTGGCTGCGGGGCGCTGGTGGGGGTTCGGGGCTGCCCCCCGATAGCGACGGGGAGAATTTGAGGGGGGGTCGGCAGCCCACCCTGGGTGGGATGGGTGGGGGCAGCTGGGCGAAGGTCGCAGCCCGCTCCGGCTCCAGCGGCGGGGTCCCGGCGGGCACGGTCAGGGTCCCGGTGGGCACAGGCAGGGCCCGGGGCTCCGGCTGCTCTGGCTGCTCCGATTGCTCCGGCTGCTCCGGCGCCGTGGCCGCGCTCAGGCGGAAGATGTGGCGTTTCATGGGGACGGGTTTCCCGGCGGGGGCCGGGGGGGTCCTGGCGGGCGGCGGGGCCTCGGCGAAGGCTTTCTGCAGCCCCAGGAGGATGCGGCGGCGGTGGCCGGGCAGCAGCACCCCGAGGCGGGTGAGCCCCTCGTCCGTCAGCGCCCGGCAGTCCCACACCGACCACAGGTGGCTTTGCTGGAAGCTCTCCACGTACTGGTCGAGGTGGAGGGCGGCCAGCCAGGCGGCCACGGGCAGAGATCCCTCCTCCTCCATGGCAGGGGACTGGCCGCAGAGACCCCGCGCCACTCAGCGCATCTCCCGCGCCTGGCAAGGCTCAGGATGGCATCAGGACCTGGGGATGGAGACAACGGGGTCAGGGTCAGTCCCAAAACGCGCTCTAGCTGAAGCCGGGGGTCCCAAAACCAACATTCCCAGTGAAGTCACCTGGTTTTCCTAGGGTCTCCAACCCCCCCGTGCCCCAAGGATCACCCAGTCCTGAACTGTGGGGCTGCAGGGGTGTGGGAACGTTGGACAGTCCCCATTCAGGTGTCAAAATACAGAGGCCATCCCCACTGAGCCTCACAGGGGATGGCACCTCAGGGCCCCAGCATGCTCCTGGGGAGCGACATGTGGGCTGGGGGACAGAGCAGCGTGTGGGGAGGTCCCACACTGGCCATGAAGCCCCCCCCAGCCAGATAGGGGCTTGCTTGGTTTCTGCCCTGCTGGCAGAGCCCTCATGCCATGCTGCAGCTGCCAGTGGGGCCGATCCCTGCTATCCCACCCAGCAGCGGGTGGGATACCCTGCCCTTCCCACCCACCAGCATCAGAGCCCCAGCCGTGCCCAGCTCCAGGAGGGAGGCACTCCAGCCACGCCGGCACACGCAGCGCTGCCGGTGACCCCGGCACTGTCTTATTTTGGGTTGGCTGGAGGCTTTTTTAGACCCGCTAAGAAGGAGCTGGAGGATTTCCTGAGCCGTAAATAGGTCGGTCTGATTTGCCGTCAGAGTCACATTTTCTGTGACTCAGGCAGGTCCCAGCCCCCGGCAGCACTTGTGGTTTTGGTGCAAAGGGTGCAGCCGAGCCAAGCTCATCCCTGACCCGGCACTAACCGGCCACCGACGAGCCTGTGGCACCGGGGGGTCCCCACAGCCAGTGACCCCCACACCTCCAGACACCAACATCCCAGTGTGCCGCTGGGATCCAGCCACAGTGCCGCTTCCCCGGCACCTCCCGGCACAGTTTGGCTCTGCTTAGGGCTGCAAAAGGTCCTGTACAAGGGCCAAGTGTCCAAGGAAGGAGCAACAGGGACCCCAGGGCTGGCTGACCCATGGGGCTCCTCACCGGCAGCACCAGAGAAACCAGCAGCATCCAGGACTTTCCCGCTGCTCCCAGCAATCCCCACCGACAGCACAAAAATCCCTGAATCGGAATAAAATTCCCTCTCCCACCTCCACACCTAAAAACCCCCTCATCTATTATTGAAAACGGGCGAGTGACGGTGCTGGGTGACTCTGCTGTCGCCAGATCCCAGCGACACCAGCACGGGCAGGCTCAGCCCCAGCCGGGCGCTGCCTGCCGAGGCAAAACACCACGGAGAAACAGAGGGAAGCACGGCGACAGCACCGTGGCACTGCCACACGTGTGCCCTCCTGGCCAGAGCCCAGCAGTCACACTGACCAGTGTCACCTGTTGGCACAGTGGCTGGACAGACCCATGGGGAAGGGACGGCTGCACCGGCGCTCACCACCAGCACCATCTCAGCACCACCCGTGGTGGCCGAGGGCCCTCCTTGCTGCTCACCAGGGATGGGGACAAAGCTCCTCCAAGGGCCCCGCGGGGTCCCCGGTGTGCTGGGCTGGCAGCTCGAGTCACGCTCCCGCCCTTCGCCCTCACCGAGTAAATCATTCATCAGGCCCTCACCGGGTTCCCTCCTCCGGTCATTAATCATTTAGTCTCTGTCCTAAACCAGACGAGGATATTCCAGAAGAAAAATCAACCCAGGGAGACGGCATAACCCAGCCGGCTGCTGGGGATTAGGGAGTCACCCTGGCCAGGGCCCCTGCCGAGCCCAAATCCCAACTGTGCTGACCCACCACATTCCTCCCTGGGATTAGGCAAAACCACAGGGGCTGTTTTGTAAGAGACTTAAAAGGCTGGACAAGTGGCATGACAAGGGGACGGTGAGAGCTGCCACCACCCTGGCACTGTGGTACCAGCACTCCAGGGGACGAGCCAGGATGCCAAAAAACACTGGGGCCAGACCCCTCAGCCCCATCTCAAACCCACACAGCCCTTCCTCACTTTCCCAGTGCTGGGGATGAAGGACCTGGGGGTGCCTGAGGCTGGTCTCCACTCTCTGGACTGAGGGGCTCACTGAGACCCTCTGCCCCCAAACTTTGATGCTCCTCCCCTGGCCCCACTGAAGCCACGAGCACTGCGGGGTGACCGCAGGCCCAGGGGATCCCGTTACCTCCGACCAGGCACTGGGGATCAGGCAGCTTGACCAGGGCCATCAGTATTCATTGGCACAGCTGCACCAAGCGGCCCCAGCAACAGCACCCAAGCACCAGGTTTGTCCACAGCTCTTCCCTGGCACCCGGGATGGTGGCCACGAGCCAGGAAAATCCACCACAGGAGCCTGGCGGGTGCCCAGCACCCTCCTGATGGATCTAGTTCCCATTGCAATTCCTCCTCCAACGAAGGCAAACTCCGCCTGCACCCCACGTTCCCCTTGCCCAGCCCCGTGGGCTCGTTAATCGAGGAGAGCTAATTACCCGCGCACGGTCCCTCGGCCCGGCAGGAGGAGGTGGCCGCTGTGCCCGTGGCCCGGCTGCCGCGGCAGAGGTTTGCTGAGGAGCCTCTTCCCACACCAGGACTTCCTCAAACGCCACCTCAGCGATGGGAACTTTCCGGAAAGCCGAGCGGGTTCTGAGCCGGGACGTGGTGCAACACCCGCCCCGGGCCCCTGCACAACTGCGGGGACTCAGCCCAGCAACGCGCCGACCACGGCCACCGCTGACCACAGCCACCACGGGGACGGGGAGGCCGGACCCCGGGGCCCTTCGAGCCCCAGGTGACAGCAGGATGGGGCAGGGCCTTTGGCTGGAGAGGAAGGAAGAACTGGGCAGGGTGGTCCCCGCCAAGTGAGGGCTCCCCAGCAGCGCAGCAGGACCAGGCACCGAGGGCAGGGTGACCCAGCAGCAGCGCAGACCAAGCCCTGGCCACCAGACAGAACGGGACCAGCGGGTGGGTGGGTGGCTGCCGTGTCCCCACCGCCCCAGGACCCCTGTGGATCCCCGGGGAGGGCACTGAGCTGTCACCCACCCGTGTCCCGGCAGGCAAAGGGGACAAAGCCGGGTGGCGGAGGAACCTGTGGGAACAGGGACGGCCACCAGTGGGAAGGGGGTTCCTCAGCCATCACGCTCCAGCGGCGTTGGGCAACCAGCCTCGCACCACGGCGATTTTTACCCTCTTCTGCCAAAATTAAGGAGAGATCCTCAGCCAGGGACCGTGGCCAGCCGGGATGGGGCCAATGTCCCCAACATCCCTGCTGGATCTGGTGGATGAACCCGCTGTCCCCGGTGTCCCCACGGGACCCGGGACACAGACCCGCTGGCGCTACCGCAGACACCGCCATGCTTGGCTGGGAATCAAAAGCACTGCATCCTCACCCTGAAACTGCCCAACCACAATCCTCAGCATGCAGCAAACACTCGAAAGCAGAAGAAGGGTCGTGGGACAGCACCCAGCACTCCCAGACCCCCTCCCACCCAAACCCCTCCCCACTCCACCTCAGTGGGTGCCCATCTGTGTGGCAGTGCCCACGGTTTCGCCTGGAAGGGTGAAGCTTTTTAGTTTTCAAGATCTTCTCAGCCCAAAAAATGCAAATTGCACTCAAACCTCCCAAGGAGCTGTTCAGGGATCGAGTTCAGGCTTGCAGAGCCACAATCCAGGGGTGTAAGAGATTCTCCAGAGCCTCCTCCCACTGTCAGGTGTTCTCATCTCCAGGTGGTTCATGTGGAGCAGCCTGAGTGCTCCCACACACACCAACTGCGCCCAGGGGCACCAGGGTCCGCCCCAACGTGGGAACCGCCCTGAGATGCCTGTGCCTGGAGATGGGGGGAGTGTAAAGAGGTGGAAGGTGAGAGATGAGGAGGGGGGTGAGGAGTCAGGGACAAGGGGGCAAGAAAAACGGGGGTTCCTCATTTCCCCCGAGGTCCCACCTGCATTCCCCTTCTCCCTTGGAAGTAAAACCTGGAAAGGTGAAACACGCCCTGGGCTGTGGCACCAACGAACAAGGACACCCGAGCTCCCTGTATTCCCTCCCAGAGCATTGCTGCCTGCCTCACAAATCTAGCCAGAAATGGGCAAACCCGGCCAGAAAAGGGGCAAATCCATCTGGAAGTGCTGTCGCTGCCCACCGAGCCCCACGGGGACACACTCAGCTCCTGACACACTTTCTGGAAGCAAACTAGGTCGGGAAGCCAAACCCCATGTGCACAGCCCTCCCAGAGCAGCCCCCGTGTCCTGGGCTCTGGTGACGTTGTGGGGCCCGTGCCAACAGCCCAGCTGAAGGTGGAGGGTGCCCTGACAGGTCACCCTTGGGCACACAACCTCTCCTTCACAGCACCCAGCATCCAGCACCGAGACCGTGTGGGTCCCCGTTTCATCTTCCCATAAGTGGGAAGTGAAAGTCTCGTGTGGATGGGGGGCCCCTTTTCCAGCCCTGCTGCCCTCCTGCCTCCTCTTCATTCTCCTCAGGGTGCAGTGGGCACCTCAGCCCCACGCTCAGGCCCCGTTCCCAGCAGCAGGGTCACCCCGTGCCAGGGCCACCCCTGGGCACCAGAGCACTGCAGACAAGCCATGTCACATGGATGCTGCAGCAGGGACAGAGGGACAGGGACCCCCCACTGCACGCACCCACCCCCTCTTTGCAAAAGCCTTTCTACACAGCCAGCACCCCACCCCTTGTAGGTTTGGGGGGTCCATCTGCAAAAATTCCCCAAGCACCAATCCCCCCACGGCCGCAGGGTCCTGCCACAGGAGCCACAAGATGCTGGCATGGGGGAGCACCACTCCCTGCCTCTCCCATGCCACCCCCAAAATCCCAGTGGCTCGCTTTGTTGTGGGATTTTCTAGGTTCTGACAGCAAATGCATCCTCAATATTGCTCTGAACATCCCCATCCCTGATGTCCTGGCTGTGGCCCATAACAGCTCACACCCAGCAGCTGCTGGAGCACCCCTGGAAAACCACTGGCAGCTCTCAGAGGAGCTTTCCCTGGCACCTTCCTCCCAGCACCCCAGCAGAGCCGCCCACCCCTGCGCTCAGCTCTGTGCCTCCAAAATCTGGTTTTTTGGGCTGAACCCACAAATTAATGTTGCTGCCCCTGCAGCCGTGCTGGACTCCCCGGGACCGAGGGACCTGCCCCCCATGCGGGTGCACCCCCTGGGCACCCCAAACCCCGTCCCAGCGGCCCCAGCAGCACGAAGGTGAGGCGTGGAGCCAGCTCGGCGTTACCGCAGGACGGAGCCGCCGCCGTCCCCGCTCCAGCTGCGCAGCACCGGTAACATTCCAGGCCTCGCCAGGCAGACCGGGAACCAGCGAGGAAGAGGAGGAGGAAGGCAAGGCGAGCCCCCCAGCAGCATCACCTGGTGTCTGGGCACGGCTGGCGGGGGTCCCGGGCCCCGGCACAGCCGCAGCTGCTGCCGCTGTTTGCCCGGGAACTGGGATGTGCCAGGTCTCCAACGGGAAACTCATCTGCCAGCCGGGCCCTCGGGGTCCCCCTTCCCAGCTTCACCCCCGGCGTCGGCATCACCACCACGTCCCCAGTGCCCCCAAACACATCCCTCCTCCCGGCCAGGCATCAAGGCCCCCCGGAGACTGGGACCGAGCTGGGTTACACTGGGCTTGAGCTGGGCTCTGCTCAGGGGAGCTGGGATATGGTGGAACTGAACTGGGGGGACTGGGATTAAACTGGGCTGAAGCTGAGATGTGCTGAGATTGAGCTGGGCTGTGCTGGGGGTGAACTGGGATATTCTGGGGAGGAGCTGAGGGGTGCTGGGAGGGAGCTGGAGAGCACTGGGGTTAAACTGGGACGTACTGGGGTTGAGCTGGAGTCTGCTTGGGGGAGCTGGGGTCTGCTGAGGGGGAACTGAAAAATACTGGCGTTAAACTGGAGCGTACTGGGGTTGGGCTGGGATGCACCGGGATCGAGCTGGGGCGCCTTGGGGGTGAGCTGGAGCCTGCCGGGGGAGAACTGGGGTCTGCTGGGGGGCAGCTGGAGCATACTGGAATTGAGCCGAGGAGTACTCGTGTTGTGAGCTGGGGATTACGGGGGTTGATCTGCCTTGTACTGGGGTCGATCTGGGACGTGCTGGGGGCTCGAGTGCCCCAGCTGGGGGGGGGCACAGCGCTGTCGCAGCCGAGCAGGGGAACAACACACACTCCCCCCACCCCCCAGCAGCTCCCAGTCCCCCCAGTGCCCCCTCCCCGCCCAGCACCGTCTACCCGGGGACCTACAGCAGCACGTGGAGAGAAGCACAAACCCCCCGGGAGAGAAAGCCCGGCTGGGGAGGTGGGGATCCCCCCCCCGAGCTGGGGTTGCCCCCCCAGCCCCCCTGGAGCCCCTGGTACCTCTGTGCGGTGGCGGCGGCGGCTCCCGGAGGATGCCGGGGCGCTTCCCGGGGCGGGGGCACCCGGGGCCCCCCCTGCCAAGCCCGGACTTGTTCCCGCACGGAGCTTTGGCTGCCTCATGGAAAGAGGGGAAAACCGCTGGGACTTTCCCAAAAAAAATAATAAATGGGCTGTGTGTGTGTGTGTGTGTGTGTGTGTGTTTGGGAGGGGGGTGTCCCTCCCCACCCAATTCCCAAGGTCGCGACGGGGGGTAAGAAGAAGAGTGGGAGGGTTTGATGACAGAGGGGGGACGTGGGGTGCCCAAGGCCAGCCTTCCCGGCCGCCCAGCCTCGGACAATGGTCCTTTCATCCCGGCGCTCGGGGACCGGGACACGCTGGCTGCCTGCTCCGGGGGAAAAGGCCCCCCCTCGGCCCCTCGCCCACGCGAGGCCGCGGGCAGGAGGGGCCACGGCTCAGCCCCACGGTTAGGGGACGGTGCTCTGCGGGGTTCAGCCCGGGCGCCGGCCTGAGATATCCCAAAAAGTGCCTCGCTGCCTGCATACTCCCTGTTCACAGAATTCCCACTCCCTCAACCCATCGCATGCCCCCACTCTCCCATCCTGCATCCCCCCTCAGATCTCCCATCTCCCTCCTCAGACCCGTGCCACACCTCCCCTCTCTCATCCCGCTCCCCAGAACCATCACATCTCCCTTCCCGATTCCCAGACCACATCCACCTGCCTCCCTGTCCCACTTCCCCGACCATCAGAGCCATCCTGGTGGGATCTCCTCCCAAAGCCTTTGGCAGAGGACGAGGGTGCCCAGGTCAGGGGGTGTCACGCTGAGATGCCAGGGGCCACTGCCAACACCCGAGGCTCATCCGGGAGGGGCTGAGGCCTCGCAGCCCTTCCCGGCAGAGTCTGGGGGATCATCCGTGTCAGCAGCCCAAGGAAGCCCCCAGCACAGCCCCGAGATCCATGAGACCCCACACATATCCTACCTGAGCCCCCGGCTCTGCTGGACCCCCCCGGGACCAGCCGTGTGCCGGAGCATCCTCTGCTTCCCTACGGAGCCGTCTCCTCTCTCCGGTCCCCCAGCTTGGGGTCTCCAGCTGCACCTCCCAGAGCCAATGAATCTAACCCCTCCCAGGAGGGACTTTACCCCCTCACCTGCCCCCCCACGTGTCCCCGTGGCTCTGGAGCTGCTGCGCTGTGTCCTGGCTCCAGTTCGGCTCCATCCTCACCCCGCCGGGGGGGGGGGGCAGCTGGGTCCCTTTTTAATTGGGTGCTATTTTTAATTGGGATTGGTGCCGGGGGGGCAGGGGAGGAGGCACAGCAGGTGGAAATTAACAGGAGAAATGGGAAGCGAGTCCCCAGTGCCCAACCCGGTGCCCAACCCGGCCCCACGGGTGACAGAGACACAGAGGCACAGGGAATGGCACACACTGGACCCCGGAACCCACCATCCAGCACAACCCCACCGGGGTGCAGAGAGGGGTTGGGGTCTGCCGAGGTGTTGGGGTGCCCAGCGCACCCAGGGGGAAGCAGTGGGGTGCACCCCAGGAGGACACAGGGGTCCCAGGGCTCCACACAGGGCCCACAGTTCCCTGGGGGTGTTCCCAGGATGGATCATCCCCTCTGACCTGTGCTTCCAGGGATCCAGGCACCTCAACACCTCCCAGGCTCCCAGACCCCTCTGCCCCCCTGGAGAAGCCAGGATGCACCCCCAAACAGTGCCTCCCAAAGCTCAGCATCCCATGTCTCCTCTCCCAGAGATGCTTTTGGGAGCAGGTTATGCCCCGGTTTGCTACTGGTGTTACTGGTTTGGCTGGGGCTGTGGGACGACCCCACTACAGGGGTCTGCAGCCTCATCCCTAATTAGTGCCCGGCGCTAATTCAGATTCACCCTCTGGTGGCATCATCACCACCCAGAGCCCCCGAGGGGTCCCCACAACCCCCAAGGGTCCCAGCAGCACCCCCCATGAGCAGGGATCCCCCTGCCTGAGCCCACTACAGGGACTGGGACAGCTCCCACAGGACAGAGGTCGAGTTCCCCCCACGCCGGATTTAACTGTTTTATTCCTAAATAATCAGCTCCAGTACAAGGTACAAAATCTCCCTCCTCCCTGTGCAACCCCCGGAAAAAGGGGGGCCAGGAGCATGGCCAGGGACCAGCTCCCAAACCCCCAGTCAAGGCCTCGAATTCCAGTGGAGGAAGAGTTCAGGCACCGAGCTTGGGGTTCCCATCCTGGAAAGAGGGGGGAGTAGGATCCTCCACAGACCCCCAGAACATCTGGAGGTGCCAGGAGCCCCCCCCCCAAGTCCTCCCAACATGCCTGAAGATGCTGGGAGCCCCCAGAGACACCCAGCACACCTGGAGGTGCCACCTTACCCCGAAGCCCCCAACAAACCACCCTGAAGATGCTGAGAGCCCACGAGACCCCCCAGCATGCAGGGAGGTGCCGGGAGCCCCCCAGGGCCCCACAACATGCATGGAGGTCCCAGGAGCCCCCAGACCACTCCCCACAGCACATCTGGAGGTGCCATGAGCTCCCCAACTCCCCCCACATTCCTGAAGGTGCTGTAAGACCCCGAATGTCCCCTCCAACATGCTGGAGGTGCCGGCAGCCTAGAAGCCCCCCCTTTTACATGCTTGGAGATGCCCCAAAACCCCAAAGCCCCTCCTCCCCAGCATGCCAGGAAGTGCCAGGAGCACCCCCAAACCCCTCAGTGTGCCCAGGGGTGCAGGCAGATCCCCAAGCCCCCCATTCCCCTGCCCCTGGGGGTCTGCTGGGGGTCCCATGGGATGAAGGCAGTTCTGTTGGGCCATAAAAGAGATAGGGAGCAGGGGTGGGGGGCCAAGGGGGAGTGCAGTGGGAGGGTCCCCAGGGCTGGGGAGCAGGCACAGGGCCCCCATTTTCCTCTGCCCCCCCAAAAGCTGAAAGGGCACTTTGGCTTTGCCACCTACGGGGACAACACCGGTGTCCCTCGAGGGCTTTGAAGTGACCAGACAACCCCCAGCTCCCCACCCTGGGGGGGCCCAGCATGTCCCCGCTCTCCCCAGATGGGGGTGCAGCAGTGGGGAGTCCCCCCGAGCCCAGAGGGGGGGTGCACGGGCGTGTGGGACAGGGACACGGGCTGTGCTGGAAGTGGGGGGACGGGGGAAGGAGCCCCCGGGGGGGGGCCAGGTCAGGCTGTCCTCACTGGGGGGACAAGGAGAGGAGCCCCCCAGGGGGATCAGGTCAGGCTGTCCTCGTCACTGCCCTCGCCACGGTCCTCCTTGCTCTCGGCCAGGGAGCTCTCGTCGATGTTCTCCAGGGAATCCGCGTGCTGCAGGGAGAGCTCGGAGAGCGCCAGGGCCGGGAGCCGGCTCTGCTCGGGGAACAGCCAGGGCTTGAAGTGGGGGTCGTGCTTCTGCTTCCACTCGGGGTACTTGAGGCACGCCTTGTACATCTTCTTCATGGCCTGGGAGGAAGGGCGAGGTGGGCACGGGGACCCCTCATCCCCACACTGGACACCCCCCCCCCCCAGTGCAGCCAACTCACCTTGGGGGCCAGGAACTGGGAGGATTTGTTCACCACCCACTTTGGTAAAGAACCTGGAGAGAAGGGAGGGGGGGCTGGGAGTGGGACCCCCAGCACCCCCCCAGGTGCCTGAAAGCCAGGACCCTCACACACACGGGACCCCCCGGGCACCCTCACTGGGGACACACAGGGTCCAACTCAAACTGCTCTCACAGAGGTCAAACCCAGCAATTTCGGCATCTCGGGCACCTCTTCAACCCCCAGAATAAAAGATTTCAGAAAAACGGGCCCAAAACGCTTCCTCCTGGCACTGCTCCACACTCTGCGTCTGCCTCCCACTGCAACCTGAGATGCTCCTCCAAGCCCACCCTGAGCCCCCCCCCGAGCCCCACCCTGAACCCCCATTAAGCTTCCCCTGAGCCCACCCTGAATCCCTCTGAGCTCCACCTGAGACCCCCCCAAACCCACCCTGAGCTCCCACTGAGCCCCCATGAAGCCTCCCCAAGCTCCCACTGAGCCCCCACTGAGCCCAAACTGAACTTCTATTAAGCCCCCACTGAGCTCCCCATGAGCTTCCCCAAGACCCCACCAAGCCCCCCCAGGCACACACTGAGAGACTGTCCCCCCAGGGACATGAGGGCAGGACTGGGGGGTACTGAGTCCTGGGGCACAGCAAGGGGGGTCCCCCCTGTTACCTTTGGGGTCCACCTGCGCCAGGTAGGTGATGGTGCAGCTCTTGGCGCCCGTGCCCTCGATCAGGTACCCGGTCTGGATGGAGACCGCTCGCACCATGTCCTTGCGGGGGGGGTATTTCTGTGGTGGGGCACAACGGGGGCACACGAGTCAGTGGCGGGGCAGGTGAGGTGCAGCAGGCACCAGTCACAGGCAGGGCTGTCATGACTCCCCCCACAGCAGCCCCCAGCCCCCTCCCACCCCCCCGCCCGCAAGCTCTGAGTGAGCCCCAGCCCCAGCCCAGCCCCACGGGACCACTGGTGCCCCCCAAACTCACAGGGTGCTTGACGGAGTAGTTCATGATGATGTAGTCAGAGCCCATGGGCAGCCAGGAGCGGAGCGTGACCACGTCCCGGTTCTTCAGGGGCTTGGGACACCTCCCTGGGGGACAGCGCAGGCTCCACAAGTGAGACATCCCCCTCCTAGTGCAGGGTCCCCTCCTCCTGCCCCCCAGATCCCCCCAGACCGGTACCCGGGCTCATCCACGCCGTGCCAGGTCCCACCCCGCTGCGGTGGCAGCCCCGGGGCTCAGCCCACCCCAGGGACCCCCAGCCCCTGCTCACAGGCGTAGTAGCCCACGTCGGAGTTGGCGGTGAGCCTGCCGATGTCGAAGGTCTCGATGACGTTGGTGTCCCATTTCTTGCGGTACTCGATGTCGTGCAGCACGTCGTACAGCGTCTCCGCCGGCACGTCCCGGCACTCCATCCTGCACTGCAAGGCAGGGGCTGTGACACACCTCCTGGGGGGGCCCGGGGGGGAAAGGGTGCCCGTGGGGACCCCTGGGCAAGAGGGCGGCTGTGGGGACCCCCGGGTGGGAAGGTGGCTGTGGGGACCCCCGGGCGGCAGGGTCTCCTCTTAGATTCCCCGAAAAAAACCCAATGCAACCCCCCTCCAAGAAGACCTGGACCCCAACAAGCAGCTCTGCCCCATCTGGCCCAGTTTGCCACCCCATAGCCCAGGCACACAGGGCCGGCAGCACCCCGAGGCAGCGTGGCACTGAGCCCTGGGTGCTGGGGGTCCC